GGATGAGCTGGTTTTTGTTCCACCAATTTAGGCCAAGGTGCAGAAGCCTCTGAGAACCATTTAGGACATGGGCAGGACACGTTTTTTCTTGTGTCACCGGGCTGACAAGAACTCCGTGTGGATCGGAACCGGAACCTCTACAACAAGTGGGCCAGTTTGCGGTCCCCTTTGTCCCTGTTTGGTTTTGGGTTCTCCTAAAATGGGCTGGGTGCCCCTGTTCCACCGGGTCAACGGACTTTGGGCGACTTCTGACAAGGGCAATGATCTCGGGAAGGCCCATGTTGACCATGACGCATGGCTCGATTGCAGCAAGGTGCGACCACTTCCAGCCCGCGAGGTGCTTGAAATTCACTTGATTGGCTCGGAAGAGCAGAGGAGCGTGGAGTGTAGGAACCTACATCCACTTCAACCTGGTAGTTGTTGACAGGCAAAGTTGAAAAACATTCTTCCGGATATTCCCAACGAAACCCCTGTTCCACAGATTGAAAAGAGGGTGTTCCTCGTCCCCGGGTGTTTTGTTTAGGCCCTGTTGCACGCTGTTCCGAATCTGAGCTCACAGACTGTCATTCCCCTGGGCCAAGTGCTCCTTTCGTTCCCAAACATATTGCGGATGAAAGCTTGGCCAACCCTCAATCTTGAGCTTGAAGTTGAGCGGATTTGATGAAATCTCTGCTCGCACCCTTTCACATTTGGGTATGTATCAAAATAGAAAGCACCCAAGAGATAGTCGCGTGCCTTTTTACAACCACCTGCACCAGTGTCCTTCCGTGTTCCCCTCGGGGCTGGTCAAAAGAGGCTGCTTGTAATCGTTCGCCTGGCTTGGCGCATTTTATATTTTGCACCCCAGGTGCCGCGTGCTTGCCCAGATGGGTGCGTCTCGCCCAGATGGCCGACCAGGGCCGGCTTTCGGCAGGTGCTTCAACCAATGCGGGGGTTGCCCATGGCGATACAACTGATCAAGAGAGATGAGTTGGGAGCATTGACCCAAGCCAATCAAGTAGGCACTGGATACCGTTACGGCCAGGAAGTAAGCGGACGGCGGTTTGGGTTATGGTTATTTTAGCATTTAGACAGTTGGCCCCAATATGTTGCTCCAACAGCCCATGTAAATGTGTGGGCGTTTTCAAGGGTCTATTTTTAAAGTTGGGTTTTGGCAAAAACCAAAAGGGAAGAAGGGGGCCGATGCTCCCAGTCAAAGGCCGGCCTTTTCACCTTAACCCTACTGAACTCCGACTCCAAAACCTCAGTGCAAAGCGGCTCGACCTTGGAAAGCCCACATGTGGCTAGGTCTCAAAATGCTTGAACCCCTTTTTTGGACGGTCTTCAAACCGCAACGTGTTCTGGTCTTGGACCCAAAAGAGACCAAGAGTTGATCCATGCTTCAGTTTTCCGGGGACGAGCTGTGAAGCACGCAAATATATGGTCTAACCCTCACCCGCAAATGCCACCGACAGGTATCACCCCCTCTCCATCCCGAAGTCACCCCGAGTAAACCCTAAAGGGTTGATGTTTTTTTGGGAGTATTGGCAGATTTGGAGGTTGTGGTGATAGCACATATTGGCATAGTATTTAATTATGTAAATGTGGATACATATATACATGTATGTGTGTGTGTGTGCGTGTTCTTTGTTTTCATGTTTGGTTGGTTGGTCGGTCCGTCGGTTGGTCGATTGGTTAGTTGGTTGGTTAGTTGGTTGGTTGTGTTTGTGCGTAGCTTTGGCTGTGTGGTTGTGTGGTTGTGTGGTTGTGTGGTTGTGTGGTTGTGTGGTTGTGTGGTTGTGTGGTTGGTTTGTTTCTTTGAGGTTTTGCTTGCTTGCTTGTTCGTTTATATGTTTGTTTGTTTTTTTGAGCGTTTCTTTTATTGATGTGGTTGTCTCTACGTATGCATATGAGGTGTTTGTATCCATTTCCCAAATCCCCACGTGTTCAGGAACCCGCAGGTTGGAGACTGAGCTGGCATCTCTCGCGCGTGTATCCGAATTGTGTCACGGTCGCCGGGCGCTTTGCGAAATGAGCCAAGAAACGTCGCCACTTCGATCAGAGGACTTTTTTCACATCGTACTGTACATTATTTTGCAGGAAAAACGTGATACTCCCATGTTCTCAACCTTCTCAGATTTTGACATCAGCAAAATCGAGGGGGATGTGAGGGAGGCGAATCACTTGATTCAAGTGATGCGATGTTTACATCTTGAGAGAGTGTGAGTCTTCCCTCCAATCTGCGGCAGGTCTTCAACCTGTTTGAAACATATTCCTGTCTCGGCTGGCTGGGGCTTTGCAATGCATGGTTCCAGACGATCCTGAAAGGGTCCACTTTAGACATCGGCTAGCAGTTTGCTGACGAATTTCAGGAGGGCAAGAAACTCACATCAAGCAACTGGGTCAAGTTGGAAACCTGTTGGACAGAAGGAGTGTGCCTTTGCTCTTGAAGGGGCACAGCCAATCTGACTTGGTTTACTCAGCAATTGCAAGCCTGTCCATGATAGCTGTTCATATATTGGTTAGCGCCAAAGTGGTTGTGTTCTCAAGCAACGGCAAACGACTCAAGTTGTGTTGGTGGGGCTTTCTTTTGCTGAACATGACTGCTTCGTCACTGTGTACATTCCCTAGAAGTCATGTTTCCAGAGACCTAGACTTGGCGCGTAGGTCGGCAGGTCCCTTCGTTTTCAGCAGAGAACCGGAAGATGGACCGGTCCCGACTCCCTTGGCGATGCACTGAAATTCAAGGCTGCTGCCAGGCGCGGAAGCAGCCAAGGCTTGCCACCAGCGATACGAGGGCCCGGCTTTTCTCGCGGGGTTTGAAGCTCGGATGGCGTCATGTCAAGTTCCAAACGGTGCCCCTGGTCCAGGACTTGTTTAAACACCAAGCCCCTGGTCCACTTAGGAAAAAATGAGGTTCTGCAAATCATGGTTAAGCTTTTGTTTACACATTGGGGCTGCACACCCTTGGTTTAAGCCAAACGGCCATGCCTTTGCTGCGCCCTAAGGTTCAACTTGATACTTTTCTCGGACCATTTGTTAAAGGTTCGCAGTATGAGCATTTGATTCATTGGGGCCAGGTGGTTGCAGCTCAGTTAAGAAACCTTCTGAATACCAAAGAGTGATGAGAAGGCCAAAGGCTGAGCTTTGGCTGCTGGGGTAGAAAGCACTCTTGTCTTCCCGAAAGCTGACCTGGAACCCCAAACACCCATACGCGGGCGATCCTGTTTGGGTTCCAAGAATTTGAAGTCAATTTGCACGAGAGTAACCGTAAAACATAATTAAACGCTGATGGCTGAGCCCCTACACAGGCCAAAGTTGGGCGCCGGGGAGCGTCATTTGATTGCTCGCGCAATGCTCAGCAAAACAAGGCGCAGGGGGGCAGAAAGGATGGGGATCGTTTCAGTCAGTGTCTGTGTGTGTGTGTGTCTGTGTGTGTGTGTGTGTGTTTCTGTGTCTGTGTCTGTGTGTGTGTGTGTGTGTCTGTGTGTGTGTGTGTGTGTGTGTTTGTGTGTGTGTGTGTGTCTGTGTGTGTGTGTGTGTCTGTGTGTGTGTGTGTGCGTCTGTGTGTCTGTGTGTCTCTGTGTGTCTCTGTGTGTCTGTCTGTGTCTGTGTGTCTGTGTGTGTGTGTCTGTGTGTGTGTGTGTCTGTTTGTCTGTGTCTGTGTCTGTGTGTGTGTGTGTCTGTCTGTCCGTGTCTCTGTGTCTTTGTGTCTCTGTGTCTCTGTGTCTGTGTGTGTCTGTGTGTGTGTGTGTCTGTGTTGTGTGTCTCTGTGTGTCTCTCTCAGTGTGTGTCTCTCTGTGTGCGTCTCTCTGTCTGTGTGTCTCTGTGTGTGTGTGTGTGTCTCTGTGTGTGTGTCTCTGTGTGTGTGTCTGTGTGTGTGTGTGTCTCCCTGTGTGTGTGTGTGTCTTTGTGTGTCTGTGTCTCTGTGTGTCTGTGTCTCTGTGTGTGTCTCTGTGTGTGTGTCTCTGTGTGTGTCTCTGTGTGTGTCTTTGTGCGTGTCTCTGTGTGTTTGTGTGTCTGTCTGTGTGTTTGTGTGTCTGTGTGTCTGTGTGTCTGTCTGGCTGTCTGTCTGGCTGTCTGTCTGGCTGTTTGTCTGTTTGTTTGTCTGTCTGTCTGTCTGTGTCTGTCTGTCTGTGTCTGTGTCTCTGTGTCTCTGTGTCTCTCTCTGTGTCTCTCTCTCTCTCTCTCTCTCTGTGTCTCTCTCTGTGTCTCTCTCTGTGTCTCTCTCTGTGTCTCTCTCTGTGTCTCTCTCTGTGTCTCTGTGTGTCTCTCTGTGTCTCTCTGTGTCTGTCAGTGTCTCTGTGTCTGTGTGTGTGTGTGTGTCTGCGTGTGTGTGTCTGTGTGTGTGTGTGTGTCTGTGTGTGTGTGTGTGTCTGTGTGTGTGTGTGTCTGTGTGTGTGTGTGTGTCTGTGTGTGTGTGTGTCTGTGTGTGTGTGTCTGTGTCTGTGTGTGCGTGTGTGTCTGTGTGTGTGTGTGTCTGTGTGTGTGTGTGTGTCTGTGTGTCTGTGTGTCTGTTTGTGTGTGTGTGTGTGTGTTTGTGTGTGTGTGTCTGTGTGTGTGTCTGTCTGTGTCTCTGTGTCTCTGTGTCTTTGTGTCTCTGTGTCTCTGTGTCTCTGTGTCTCTGTGTCTCTGTGTCTCTGTGTGTCTGTGTCTCTGTGTCTCTGTGTCTCTGTGTCTCTGTGTCTGTGTTTGTGTCTGCGAGTGTGTCTGTGAGTGTTTGTGTGTGTGTCAGTCAGTCAGTCAGTCTTAGTGTCAGCGCTTGCGCTTGCTTGCTCAAGCTGTAGTGAAGCTGGTCGAGGCTGCGAGAGTTGCACTTGCACTTATTACACTCCAGACAAAAGAATGACAGTGCGACAAACCTCGCTCTTTGTCAAAGATCAAGCCCATGTTGGACCATGGAGAAGCCTCGTGCATTTGCCAGGGCAGGCGCGCTTTACAAACATTCTTTCGAGGAGTGACTTTCACAAGCTGAATCAGTCAGCCAGGCCAGGTTCCAATTGTCATCCGTTTGGTCTTTGCTTCCGTGACGCCATGAGCACACGCACCTCGGCCGTGCCGGATGACTTCCCGCACTTCGCCGCGTGGTGTGCCGATGCCCAAACCTGTGTGATGCGCGCACACCTTTTTGCTTGGCTTTGCCTCTCCTCAGCCAGTTGGTCCATTGGTTGGCTCATGATGCGTTGGTTTCGCTAGTTGTGTGGATTTTCTGCTCGGATCGCAGGGTAGTTGGTTGCTTGATTGCCTCAAAACATAGCACTCAGCTAAAGCATCCCCCTCAGCCAAGCAATTTACGCCTGCAAAGCATCCGTCCAGCGCATTGCTCTGCCCCAAGCGTTCGATCTGGCATTGTAAACAACTATGTTAAAAACACGGCAGCGTCTTGAGTGCATATATGTTGACGTTGTGGACATGCATTTTGTTTAAAGTTTGTGGGGTTGCGTCTGGTTCACGGCCCAACCATGGCGGGGGAACCAGCACAGCAATTGGCCGGTTTTCTTCTGAATGAGTCGTCAAACGCAATTTGAAGGGTTCCAAATTTTGGACATTGACATAGGTGTTGGTTCACTTGTCCTTGGCTATGGGGGTGGATTGTGATTCAAGGTTCACGCAGAACGTGCGCATCGCCCCCGACCCGAGCACAGCGTTGTGAATCCTTGACGCCAGTAATTCAAACTTGGCTTTCACCCCAGTCCGCCAGGTATGGCCGCGTGCCCGGCTTCGAGCACGCACAGGTGAGAGCCAAGGTCGGAGACTGGAGAATCCGGGAAGCTGCAGACCTGGATTAGATGTACGTGTAGATAGATATTATCCATAGTAACTATACATGTTGTTTGGTTGAACATTCCCAAAGTACCAAGCTGAACCCGCATGAATGAAGCCCGGTAAGAGTCTGGATGTCGCAGCTATTTGCGAAGCCCGACCACCCCAGTATGTGTGAATGAGTTGGATCGGTTTTGGGGATAGATAGGCTTGGGCAAGATCGGCGGGGACGGCACTGAAGGATTCCTGAAAAACTAGCCTGAAGAACACGATTGCCCAAACAGTTATTCAGACATGGTTCACAAGGTTGTTGCCTTTCTGCACCTGGAAGTCGCAGGGTTTGAGTCCATCCGTGACTGTGATTGGAAAGTGTGGGGTCATTCTTGGGACTGAACTTCTCCAAAAAGACTTGGCCAGGTTTTCTTTGGAACACCAGATTACCAAATCTGCGAAGCGAAGCACTCGAACTGAACCTCACCCTCCTCCGGGTTCTTCGACAAAAAGAAGCCTGTGGCGATTTTAAAGTGACTGAGATGGGCGAGTTGTGGCGACCTCACCTATGAACTCTAGTTCCATTCACTCGCTGATTTACAACACCCTGGTGATGTTTACACCTTTTTTTTGGCTCACTCCTGGCCTTCCTCTCTGAGAGTCAGTCCATAGCCTTTCAATGAATGGAGAAAGGGCTCAACTGATTTGGCCAGGCCTTAAACAGGGTCGAACAACCAACTCCTGGTCGGCTTCCAAGAGAAACAAACACAAGGTTGTTTAAAAGACAGTAGCTGTCCGTTCTTCAAAGGCTTGGCCCAACTCTCCCAATAATGAGCAAATGAGCATTGGCTCATTCAGGACTTCCATTGCCGTGACCAAGTCTTTCATCTCCGTCAGCTGGTGGATGCAAGGCCTGCGCGCTGAATTACCCAGCTGTATAGGCCCCTCTGGAGGTTACTTTTGAGAGTCACTCAATTTGCGAGGTTGATGAATCCAGGGTCGATGGGGTCCAAACCCCAATGTCCCATCAAGTTGGCCCCAGAAGTCTCCGCCGTTTGCGCATCAGATTGACAATCAAAACCGGGTAATGCTCGGCACGCCATCAATGGGTGCGGCAAGACGCCTTGAATGGCGTTCAATCTGAAGCGACTGAGTGGAGCGCTGCGTGCTAAGGCGTCTGTCGCCACTTTGACTTTCACGGCCATATGCTCATGGGGAGCGCTGATGGGCGGGCGTGTGCCCACGCTCAAGGAAAGACAAGCCTTCTTTGAAGCCTTCCGGAGGGCAGTGAAAGGAGGTCCCGCAAAGGGAGACCGCAGCGCGAGGCCCCTTCAGCAACTGCTGATTTTAGGACACGGCAGCGACCTGCTCTACCTTGGAGCGCAGAAGCTGCTGAAGGCAATTGGCCGCTGGGCCGACCACGCACGGGCCGGAGGTAGGCCCCCGACACAGCACCGGGTTTGCCGGACTAGGTATGCCCGGGCCCTTCAGAAATGCCTCGACCACTGGGGTTGGACCCCAGTGCCGGGGCAATGGGCAGCTTGGAGACAAGGCAGGCAGGTGCTGGATCTTCAGGCCAGCTACAAGGATAGGGAAAAGGCCTTTCATGATTTGAGAAGCGCATGGAGGTGTACACGCTTGGAGGAGTGGTTGAAATCTCCCAGGCGCGACGCGATCCTGGCCCGGCAGGAGCGAGTCCGCGCCACGGTTGGGCTTGTGGACAGGCTTCGTAAGCTGGCTTCTGTGCTTCCCGGACACGCGGTTTCGTGCATGTGCGGGGGCATGAGCACGGACGCAAAGTGGACACCCCGAGGCCCACAGAGATTGACCTGTGAATGCTGCGGATTGGCAGTTGTGCCTTCTGTGGATCACGTGTTTTGGGTCTGCTGCGCGTTTGCGGAACTGCGGGCGCAAACTCCAAGGCCAGTCTCCATGCTTGCCGCCCGTGTGGGGTGGACTCAGAACCCCGACGGTGGGGAAATAGAAAGACTCATGATGATGGGTCGGATCCGTCATGACGAAGTGAAATCCCGGAAAAACAGATTTTCGTGGACCATGGACTAGCCGTGGTGCGCCTGCTTGCCTGACTAACACGGTCAGGACAATGCATGGCACTAAGGTACCTCCACTGTACCACGGACCTTTTATGTGCGGCACCCTTTTTGGTTTATTTGTCGTTTTGGCTGCTGCCTTTTTCGGCTCTTCGGTGTGGCTTGGATTCTGGGCTTTCCGGGGCTGGTTTTCGGGCTGGCTCCTTGGCTTGTTTTCCTTTTTCGCCACTCCGGTGGACTGAACGCTGAGGTACCATCAGTACTTAGTACTTCGGTACGCTAAGGCACCACCGCCGCTGACGCGCTGCTGCTGCTGCTGCTACTACTGCTGCTGCAGCCCTGTGCGTTGGCGGTTCCTCTCGCTGCTAACCCTGTGCAAGGTTGCGGCGATCCACACACACTGAGTGGAGCATGACCTTTGCCGTTGATTGGCCGGATCTGAAGTGGAGTAGCGCGCAAGTCCCCAACCGTTGCATGCAGGAAAAAATGATCTCAAAGGTCAACGCCTTTTGAGCTCATCACCAATAAGTAGACCGACCTGTCCGTTGCCTCCATTTCTTTGGTCAATTGTTCTAAGGCAGGAGCCTCGGACAGATCTGAAGATGCATACTTCAACAAAGGAGGGCCAATACAGTCTTTTTCATTATGGTCTTTTTAGTTGAAAAGATGCGCATTTGCTTGTATGTTTGATGAGTTGCTCCTTGCTGTGCACGGTTGCGTTTGAATAGTCGCTGATTGGATCTTTTCTCTTGGTGTCGAGCACCAAGATCCTTGTTTGAGGTAAGCCGTAAAGGTCTCTTCTCTTCTCTTCTCTTTGTTTGTTTTGCTGAGCGGGCTGGGGCTCTGGATACACCATGCGGGCAGGTACTACCTGAACTGGCACTACTCTGATGCTGCCGATGTCCTAGCCACGTTTGCAGGCGTTCCCTTGGTTGTTAAAATAGACACAAGTGCCAGTCTTTGAACAGGATACCAAAAAAGGCCCCTAATTCTGGCAATGGTTCTCGCAGAACAGAAACAAAGCCGCCCAAAAGACACTGAGCTGCATTTGACTTGGTGAATGCCATTTGGCTTCAACACTTTGAGTAGTTCGGTCAGCCTTTCAAGGTAAACCTAAAGGAGAGCAACATTTCTTGGTGGGGATGTGGCGTGTTTTATGGCAATCGTTGAAGGGGACGCTGGGATTCCCCAAAAGGAAAGCCGTCTTCCAAACCCTGTGTTGTCAGCCTCCATGATTGTTGGAGAGAGGGTACCTTCCCTCTGCCAACCCCAGCACCCCGTGACCAAACCGCTGCTCAGGCTCCCTTCAACGCCATAAATACACCGTGCCACATCCTTCAGGGGTGCGGGAATCGAGCATGTCTGTGGTCACGCCGTTCAGCGAACCCCCACAAACACGATCGACTAACACACTGAACACTTGCCAGGGCCCGTTGCATTCTGGCATCAGGTTTCAGACCATTTGTGAAGAAATCAAGAAAGGTAGGTTTCGGTGACGCTGCAGGAGTTCTAACAAATGAGTTCGATGCAATCTGGATTGTCCTTTGCTGCCTATCCTTTTTTACAACCAGTCAAATGAAAATGTGTCTCCTGGAAGGATTCCTACGGCCCCACCGCCTACTTCACCGCGGCGGAAGAGTGGCTGCGATGCCGCCAGGGGCACCCAGCGCTCCGATTCGGAGAGGTCGAAACCAGAAAATCTTCAGTCAGACTCCAGGTTAACAAGCCTCTTAGACGATTTGTTGACGCTCTCCTTAAGGAAATCTACCGTTGTTCTCCAGCGTTCCCCAGTTCCCTCGTCAAGGGCTGCTCGCGCAACTGCTTCCTGTTCATCTCCCTTTGAACAGAACGACAAGCGCCACAAGGGGTTCTATGCTCATTTCGTTGTTCCCAGTGCTGTGATTCCTGACCTCCCAATTGAAATGCTGAACTCGTGCATGGGAAGAAACCCTGCGTCAAAGGTTTTCCGGACACAGTTTTGGCATTCCTTGGGCGTGAGGAAGGAACACCATGTGTTCGCGATTTGGGGATGAAAACCACCTAGACGAGGTGCCCATGTTTGGAACACAGAAGAGTCGATTGAGGGGATGGACATCGAATCTTGATTCGGAATGGCTCATTTGTCCAAAGCGAATTGACCTTGTAGCGTGTTGGCTTTCCAGCTCTGAGCAACGTTCAAACGGCGCCCCAAAGGTTAGCCCTTGAGCTCCATGTCT